CAACACTGTCTCAGATTTTTTAATTATCTTTTTCTCTTTATAGATTGTTTAAAACACCAAAATGCAAAATGCAACAGGAAAGATGGGACAACAATGCATATAATCATCCAGGTGGGGCCGCACATTGGTGGTGGTGGATGGGAGTCCCCATTACCTGCAAAGAGCTTTGAGTGGAGTGTCCAGAAAAGCGCTATATAAGTGTAAGCAATTTTATTATTATGATTATTATTATTATTATTATTATTATTATTACAGTGTTAATCCCACAATTCAGTGCAGAGAAAGCCAAGCCTGAGGTCAAATCAATTCCTACTCTTTGCAAGAACAACATGGCTATCATTTGGTAAAAAAACAAACAATAATTTTTGCAGTAAAATTGCCCCTAAAATAACCCTAAAGTAAATTTTATCTTAATAAACACAACGCTTTTTTAGCTGACATGCACTGAAGACTGTACACTTGTCTGAACAGTTTTATGTACTGTATATGCATAACCAGATTTTTTATGGAACATAACATGTTTTGAAATAGTAACTTTGACATGTCTCTAATTTTAAAGGATATAATTTTAAAAGTAAGGTATTGCCACACTGAACAAAAGAAGAAAAAAATATATTTTTGCTACAAAACCCTTGTTATGTGTCAATTTTAAGAAGTTCATTTGCTTAATTTTTTTGAATTTTTATGTTTTTATTTTTTGTGGATTGAGCTTTTTTTCAGGTGTCAATCTATTTTTCTTTGTTTTCCTTGTGTATGGAGCAGGGGGTCTTTAGATTTTGAAATTCAAATTGTGCCCATAGTATGCATAATCCACAATAAAATGCCTTAAATATACCTTTTAAAAAAATGTCATTAAAGAAACATGAATAATCCTAATTACATATACTGTCATAATATTTATATTACTTTAAATATTTATTATACATAATGTATACATATAAATAATAGCATTTATGTGCTTTATTTATTTTTTTCATCAGTCCCTTGTGACTCAGGAAATTTATAATGACATGAGTATATAAGAAAATTTAGTACCACAGCACATTATTAATGAAAAACAGTACTATGGGCCTATATATATTGCCCCCCCCCCCCAGAAATGGAATTCCCTTTACATTTCCCTCCTAAGTTCTTCAGTTTCAGTTAAAGTTCTACAGTAAGAGTGAAAATCACAGTTTGTACAATCAAGGTCATAATCAAATTGTTGACTGTACTGTAGCTATAGATAGACAAGTGCAACAAGTAACCTTATACAGCTCTTGTTACAACTTGCAACATGTTCAAATATGCAATACGGTACAATGCAAGGTATAGCTCAAAGTGTGGTTATATATGTCGAATTACCAAAGGATTACCACTTATACTACACATTAACTTCTTACAGTTTAGGTGCAATTGCAAAATCTTATCCTGCCTCAAGTATGTCTGCTTTATGAGACCAGGTGGAAGGCCTATGCATTATGTTAGGAAGAATGGAGCACAATGATAGAGGAAGCTGGTCTGTTTCCTTATCTAAGAGCACAGAGCCCCACTTCTTGAAGATTATGGACTAAGATTAATTAAATAAATAATTATGTCAAGGAATGAATGCCAGAAGATCTGGAAAAGGCACAGTTCTGGGCCACATTCCTCCTCAGACAATGTTGGCTTTATGGAAAACAGGAAAAGTGGGAGGTGGAGAAACCACAAAATGCTGGCACAAGTGAATAAATACGTGTATCATCAGTCTAAAAAAGAAAGCGAATATAAATAAATAACTCCTAATGCACATTTTACATTGCAAGGTGCAATACATTGCATGTACTGCAATTGTATCCAATTGAAAAAATAGAAAACTTACAAAGCTTTATTAAATCTATTAATTTACATTTAAATCTAATAATTAGACTTAGATCATTTCAGGATATGCTGCAGCTAAATCAGTTAATATCTAATATAAT